TACCTTCAACATTTAACCTTAGTATTTTAAAAATGCTATTCAACGTTAATCTTTGTCATTAAAATACTATGTAAAAGACAAATCCCAGCCGAAGTGTAAAACCGTTATTAGTGCTTATAACAGCCAAGCGGCAAAAGCCATATCCAAATTTCTGCACCAACAATAATTATAAATAGCGAAGTTGCAAACAAAATGGGAGGAGCACCAATGTGGTCACATACGCCACCATATCTCAGTATCAAAATGAGCTCACAAGAACAAACAATGGCTTGTCTCCCAACCGTTCACGGCCCTAAGATTAAGCAAAACAGCCCCACACACCGTTAGAATCATGCCGTGAATGGAGAAAAAAGGTCTTTTAAATTTTACTAACTCAAAGTGATGCTTATATATATTGAGGATATTGTCCCGCGTCGTAAACCCAGTCTAGAAAAGACATATATGTAAGAATTATAAGTTACTTCTTACTTTGCTAATCAATTTTGAATTGGAATCTCATAACTCTACAATAGGTAGTATAAAACAGTTAAAACAAAAAAACAGGGGCATACCTTCAGTTCTGGCAGCTCAATAACACATGCACACTCAACCGCGATCCCGCCAACACGCTCTGCACAGTGAATAAAAAACAAAGAAAAATATTACAACGGACTATTATTCTATATATCATGAAAATTCTAAGGAGCTATCATTTTTTACGTCTTCCAAACTTTCCAATTTTCTCCTAAGCAATGTCGCAGAGACAGATTTGTGTATATCTCACCCCTAACCCTAGTTCGAAGTGGAATGTATTGGTTGTTTGGGTATGTCTGGTTTTGGTTATCTGTATTCTATACATATCACATGAAAGTTATACATCTTGTACTCTTGGGTGAGGTTTTAAAAAATCGTATGCACAACTAGCACGCCGCAGATAAAAATATTTGCATCCCCATGTATTGAAAGAAGGGAAAACACTTGATGAACAAATTAAGTAGCATACCAATTAGCCTGATTGCAGCACCCAAGGTACCCCCAGTTGCAATGAGGTCATCTATTATAAGGACATGTTCTCCTTCTTGAACGGCCCCAACATGCATCTCCATAGTGTCTGTTCCATACTCCAAAGAGTACTCTTCTGAAATAACCTTGCCTGTCATTCATCGTATACAACATTATGAAAGGTATTTTGTATTGTGAAATAAACCAAATGATTAAACTATGTTATAATGTTTGTTAATATACAAGCCATTGGAAGCAATTAAATTATGGTCTTTAAAGGGAGCCCTATAGAGTCATGCCATATTTTGTATGCGTGAGGTAATTTAGTGTACATTGCTCCCATATGGTATGTTTTTTAACTTGTCAATTAGATTTTTCAAGAAACGCTAATCATCAGATGGATATGAAAGATGCAGAGCATTAGTTGCTTTTTTGGTTGAGTGCCTGAAATTAACTAAAATGATACGTCAACCTTAATATTAGATATTGTTTACTTTATTATTTGAGAAACAAATTCAAAATAATTATTTTAGTTAATTCAGCAAATTCTGCCGATTCATCCAAAATTCAAGCACACATAGCCGTATAGGCCTTATCAAACGAGCTCTTGGATATCTATAGGACATACTCCGGAACAAAATGAGAAGGAAACAAGGGATGGTACCAGGCAACTTTTTGGGTTTCCTCAGAGGAACAAATTTTGCCCCTATGGCCAACGCTATAGGAGGACCAAAAATAAAGCCCCTTGCTTCAATACCTGCAGCCAAAATTCAAAATGAGAGGATTACGTCTCACGCAGTCACGCAAGCCTATTGAAAAGCCAATATATTAAGTACCACATAGCTTTTGAAGAAAAAACTTATAAATCTAACGCAGGTTTAGTGGTATGCATAAAGGCCACAACTATTATATCTCAACTCACAACCCATAGATCAGCAGCAAAAACATTATTGATATCGAATATGTCTTGCAAATAAATGATTCCTGTTCTCTGGCAGGACCTTTACACTAAAAATTTAAAATACCGTACAGCAGTTCACTTGTTAAAAAAATCAAAACACCGCCATTTTTGACAAGCACTTTAATTGGAATTGATCATGTATTAACCACAAACTAAATTCACTTCATAAACTCAACTATATAGTGTCAAGAAAACAGTAATATGAGGCAGATCAAAAGACTTCTAGTCATTGGCAATAAAGAGTTTGCTCTTTTAGACTGAAGTTTACTGATATAACATAGCCTAACGGAAATTTTAAAAATTGTAATGAATTGAACTGAACCTAAATGAACTAAAAATAAGACAAAAAGAACAAACTCGTAAGCATGCCAATATGCCATACATGTGAGCACTAGAAACCTGTGATTCCTAATCTGGAAATATTTAGCTCAAAAAAGAAAGAAAATACTCTACAGAGAAGGTGCATGTGCTTTTACTAGCACTTTGGTCTTCAAGAGCTCACAACATTAAAGATCAAAATCAAATGTGGAAAGACCACACACAACAAGAATGGAAAAAAAGCTCAAAAGTTTATGGTTGTAAGCCCAAGAAAGGTTTTAACAGTCTAATACGCCCCCTCACGGTGTGGTTGCTTTAAGCCATGCACGTGAAACCTTACTTAATTTTTTTAAAACTTGGTGGCAATGAGTTACAAAACTATGATTTCTTAGTCAACCTGACTCCCATGTCATGTCAAACAACCGACTCAACCACAAGCTTGAGCTTTTGGTTGTAAGCCCAAAAAAGTTTTTTTATAGTCTAACAAAAACACATAGATGAGACACAAGCAAACCAAATCTGCAGAGAGCAAGAATTGACAGTAAAGAAAGAGACCTGCAACCACATTGATGTTTTTGTCCTTGTATCTCTCAACAAACATATCAATGGTGTCCTTAAACGCCTTGGGATCAAGAAGCAAAGTAGTTATGTCCTGAAACAGAATCCCTGCCAATGATCTCCAACATCAGATGAATCACAGAGAGGTCAACAATATAGACACAGATCGAAGAAATAGCTCAAGACAAGAAGTCAGTACCGGGTTTGGGGAAGTCGGGTATGACCCGGATTGTAGAAGCGATCCGGGCGATCCGGGGATCCACAATAGCGGAATCTTGAGAAGCCATCTCCGTTGAGCTCGCCGGATCTAACAAGGAGACGGGATTCGGTCCGGATTTAGCTCCGGTACCCGTTGACGCGCGAATTGGCTGCACTACACGTCTTCTTCTTCCAGTAGCGACGGTAGCTGCGGATGCGGCGGCAGTGGGATTTAGATTTATTCGGACCAAATTGCCACCTTGTAAATACTTTCCTAACTTTTCTCTGCCAAAATTGCCCCTGTGGAGTACTAGAGCGGATTGGTGGGCGATTGAGTCCATTTCTGTCCAATCCTAAGAAAATGGCAAATATCCAAAACCTGTAGACGTGTTTTACATGGAAAGGAAAAGCTCAAATAGCCAATTACTCCCTCAGTCCCAGAAAGAATGTCACGTTTACTATTCCGGCCTCTCGATAACTTTTGTTTGTTTACTCGTTTTGGTTGACCATTTGATAAAATAAAATATTCTTGTCGCATCTTGTTTTTTAGAACTTTTCATATACTTTTGAATGGTGTAATTTTTACTTTTTATTACTCTACCAATTTGAAATTAAAGTGATTTTAAAAGAGGTGATATTTTACACGTCGTTCGAAGTATTGCAAATAAATTGGGACGGAGGGAGTACAAGTTAAATATTGACCGTAGACTCATACAAGTGTTCTTTGAAAACTACTCACTACGTTTCTTAAAACCCTTCTTCTTTCATTTTTTTGTTTTTCTTAAAACACTTCCCTTTTCTATTAAAAAACCACTTTTACCCCTACTTTTTCATACCCTACCTATCACATCATACTTTTTCACTAATAAGTAAATTATCACATCTTACTTTTACCCATCACATCAGGAGCAAAATTGGAAAGTCAACTAAAATTACACTTTCCTTATTTTTCCCCAAAGTCAAAAGAGGAACCGGTTTGAGAAACAGAGGGAGTATGTTTTTTATTACGGTAAGAATTTTAAATAATATTTTAACTTTATAAATTACTCCGTAATTTTTAAAAGAGTTTATTCTATAATTGATTTTATTAAAGGCAAAAGTATTACCTTTGTGGCTTTGTGATTATTATTTTATGAAAATCTTTCTAAAAATAGTTCTTTTTTTAGATTCTATCATATTAGTGTTAATTTGAAGGCTAGAAGTATAATGTGATATAAATCTTATGTCATGTGATGCATTCTGATGTCGATTAAAATAACAACACAACAGTCATGACTATGATTATGAACTAAGATTTCGATGAATAACCACACCTGTAAATTATGACTGTAGTAGAAAGAGACAACAATTGACAAACGGCGCATCAAGAGTGGCTTCTGAAATTATGTATGACAATAATTATTTTTTTCAATTCTTTAAAATCAAATCGAAATTTATGTTTAAGGCGGGAGGATATATAAGTGTATTACTCCCTCTGTCCAAAAATCATATTCACGTTTATTATTCACAGAGCCAAAATTTATTTACTTTATTGGTCTATTTTTTATTGATTATTTGGTAAAATAATATAATTATGTCATCTTTGCTTTTTCAAAATTTTTTTATGTAGTTTTAAAATATATAAAGCGAAGCTGAAAAAATAATCTCTAATTTTCATACTTGAGTTCAAATTTGGAATTAAAGTAGAAAATGAGTCCCTAGACCGTTCAAGTTTAACTAAGGTTGACTATGTACTCTACACTCCGTATTAAGGAAGGAATAGGAAGCATCCAAAGGGCTCCACACAGCCGACTCGTTTGATCATCAAAATGCACATTCATCAGCTCCACCCCACTCCTCCCCTCCACTTGTCCCTCCTCCGCCCGCCCCCATTCACCCACCCACCGCCACCGCGTCTTTTACCCCTTTCCTTCCCCCTGCCCCTCACGCAACTTCCTCCCCCCTCCTCCTGCGTATATATAATAAACCCACCTCCCAAAGTCCACTACTCGATCTCAAACCCATCTCTCCACTCTGTTTCTTGAATTAATCAATCAAAAGCTTCTTCAATTCCTTTCCAACTACCGGCGGATCAGCTATTTTTAAAGACTCATCAGATGGCTCTTCAGGCTCTGAATTCCCCGACTGCCGCCCTGTCTCCGTCGTTTCCGCACCTCGATCAGTCTTGGGCCAAAGGGAAACGCTCCAAGCGGCCCCGCAGCGGCGGAATCATTACGGAGGATGAGGAGTACTTGGCTCTCTGCCTCGTCATGCTCGCTAGTGGACGGACGGACGCTCCTTTGCCCCCGCCGCCGCCGCCGGCGGCGGTTCCCGATCACAAGCAGCTCCTGTACAGGTGCTCCGTCTGTGACAAGGCGTTCGGGTCATTCCAGGCTTTGGGCGGCCACAAGGCCAGCCACCGGAAACTCGCAGCCGCCGGGGAAGACCGGTCGGCGTCGCCGGCACCGCCCTCCGGGAAGGTCCACGAGTGTTCGGTGTGCCACCGGTGCTTCCCCACCGGGCAGGCGCTGGGGGGACACAAGCGGCGGCACTACGAGGGCGGCGCCAGAAGCGCCGCGTCCTCGTCGGAGTGCGTGGGGTCCACCAGCACCTCCCACCGGGGATTCGACCTGAACCTCCCCGCCTTGCCGGAATCCTCCCCTGTTTTCGCCGGACTTGGCGAGGACGAAGTAGAAAGCCCTCACCCTGCAAAGAGAGAACGGCTCAGCCTCGCCATTCCGGCAATTACTCTCAAGCTCAAGACCTAATAAGATGGATCGGTTGGATCACAATATATAAATTTGTAGGCTTATATATAGTTTTGGTTTGTTTAGTGAAATTTGATGTGTTTATTATCTTCAGTTTGCAGTTAATTAGTTGTAGTGTTAGGGGGGAGACGGCATAATAATCTTTGGTGTAAATGCAGACTTTTGCTTAATTAAATTCAATTGATTCTTTTTTCTTCTATATGTTGAAGCCATGTTTTCCTTTCTTGTTGATGTGGAAGTATAAATTCACAGAAAAATGAAACAATGGAGTATTGATTACCACTTGTGTAGTTTGTGTTGTGCACTATACTATGCATAATTACATAGTTGACATTCATCTGTGGCATTGAATAAACCCCTCTTTCCATCAGCTAGTATGGAGCAGTACAAATTAAAGAGGATTTGCTAGGTACCTAAGTTGGTGTACTCTAAGTATATACTAGCTTCTTACACACACAAACATTTATTGTCTGTGTGCCTATAAGAAGCTAGTGTACACTAACTTGGAACTAGTACCTCTAGGTTTTTTTAATTAAAGAATGCTATTATCCTTATAAAAAACTATAAATGAGAATTATGTTTGGCACACCTATATAATCACATGTTTTCATAATTCAAATTCAGAATGCACTTGGATAAGAACAAAAAAAAAGTTTATTACGGAGTACCTTATTTTAGGACCCAAAAAAGAAGTCAATTTACAAGTTCAATCTAACTTGAGTTAGTTGGGTTCAAACTTTCAAATTCAACCCAAAAAAAAGTCAATTTTATAAATTCTTATACTCCGTAGTCCGTCACTTATTCCCATTTTCTAATTTATAGTGTCTGTTTCAGTTTATGATGTTTAATTGAAATTTTTTTTAAACCATTTTTTATAACAAATGATATAGAGTTAAAAAATAAAATTTATATATTAAAATACTACATCAAAAGATCTACAAAAATGGTAGTGACAATAGCACTTTATTTTAGTAAATTGCTAACGGAAATAGAGAAAGAAAATGAATGAAGATTGATCTTGTGAATAGTGAACATATACTATAAATTGGGACGGAGGAAGTAATATTTATAAACAAATTATTTTTGTACTATGTTAATGCTTAGTTGATGATTAAAATGTATCTAATTTTATTACGGAGTAATAAAATTCATGGACAAAAGCAAAACTTTACAATAATTTTTTTTGAGGGAAAAAAATTTTACAAAATTAATGCAATAATACTCCATTTGCTAAAAGCACAGAAAATGAGAAAAAGAAAGACCACCACTAGAAAGCGTGGGGTTGACGCGGTTGACTAGTGGATAAGCACATAAGTTAGGGGCAAACGCGAGAGCATAACTCCAAAATATACCCCTCTAGTCCTCTTCTTTAAAAAACATCATTTACAATTGGTTTACCCCCAAAAAAATTATTATAAAATATAAAACATGAAATAAATATAAAATATTTCATGAAATATGAAATAAATATAAAATTTTCCAAATATAGAGAATCTTTAATAATCCTATAAATTTTTCCTTCCCAATTACGACATTTCTATAATTTATGTTTGCTTACAAGTTCTCATTAATCATTTGATAAGATAAAAATATTCTTGTCACTTATTTATAAAAAAAATTACTCCTAGGCTCTATTTGATACAACGAATTCAAACTATGGAATTAGAATTAGAGACAACATTTCTAATTCTAATACTCCGTATTTCGTAGTACAAAAACATGCAATTTGAAATTGATAATTCAAGCCACGTTTGGTACACGGAATTCAAACTATGGAATTGAAATTGAGGACATCAATTCCAATTTTGGTATTTGGTAGCACAAAAATTCTTAGGATTTAGAATTGATAGTGCAAAAAATGAAATGGAATTGGTAGAATTCAATTCTATGCAATAGAATCTCTTGGAATTTCAATTCCAATTCAATTCCAATTCCGTCAATTCTGTATACCAAACAGACCCTCAATTCAATTACAATTTTGTCAATTCTATCAACCAAATGGAGCTTTATAAGACTTGTCCGTACTCCGTAGTTGACTTGGCTTGTAGCTTTATGGGATGGCCACGTTTGGAAAATAAGTTTGAGTTGGGGGAGAAAAAGGTGGGCTGCCGTTTGGCACGACCGCAGAACACAAACACGTTTATCATATGCACTCTTACCTTTTGGAGTAAGACTAGTCAACACAAACCCATTTGATTCCAACATACTTCTAGAAATTCAACCAAAATCCATTTAAAAAAAGTGTTTTTTAATACACTTGTGCTTACCAAACTTTACGCCATATATACCTAAGGTGCACGTTTAATATGTGCACCGACTTATTTGTTACTGTAAAGTTTTTTTGAAAGACTCAAAATTTTTAAAAGGTATATTATAGTTGCAAATGATCAAAATATTACACAAGACCCGTAAAAATAAGTTGAACCTAAAGTCTACCAAAGTATTTGTCGTCAGAGAAACCAATGTAGTTCTTAAATTTCAATGTTATAATGACACCAAAGTTATTTGAGAGTTCTATAGAGTTCTATTGGATCCAAACCAAACTCCCCGGGCTACCGTGCACCCCCCAACCCCATCCACCGGGTACAGACCTAACAGAGCACCGCAAGGCCTCCAAATTGACGCCATGTCACATTTGACACCCAAAAACTTGAGCTGCAAATGCAAAAGGGCTTGGAATGATTTTCCACATGTTAAAGACATCTGTTGACTGTGTGGGATGCATGTGAGTAGGCATATACAACCTCGTGTGTGAAAAAGCACCACCCAAAAAGACGACTGATTGAAAACATCAAACTTTTATTCATAATGCAGCATCAAATGGTGTACCAAACAAACACATCCTTTCCTTCACAAACTTACATTGCAGAAATGAATTCCAAGCCGGAGAAAATATTACACAGAGATTAACACTATGTTTGGTTCAAGGAATTTGGAAGGAAAAGAAAAAAAAATGATTTTCTCTCATTTTCCTCACCAAAATGGGAAGAATTTTGGTTTTCCTCCTTTTAGTACATTTTGCCTTCTCATTTTCTTTTCCTTCCACATTTCCTTTCTTTTCCTCTCTAACCAAACAAGAAAACTCGTTTTCCACTTAATTTTCTTTTCTTTTCCCTACCAAATTCCTTGAACCAAACATAGTGTAAATGGTGCACGAACTTAGTAAAAGTACGAAACTTCACATGATATAATCACATCACTAGCTACCAGATTATTATAAGTCTGAAATATTGCGATAATATAGAGAAGCAAGGCTGCAACATATGGATATGGCATCGGTTTGTGGGGCAAATTAAGGGAATGCCATCTTTGGAGGAGGGGCAGGGGGTTTAGGAATGAAAGGCAAGTAAGGAGTGTCATGTTTTATAGGGCCTGGTCTTACAGAGGCCTTTGAGCTTGGGACCGGATCAATCGGTTGGTAGTCTTCCAAATTCACAACCTTTCGTGCAACCTCATCTTCTTCCTCAAAGCTTGGATCGTAGTGGCCATTATTATCCTGCAGGTAATTCGAGCTCGACGAAGAGATTAGTTACTACTGCAAAATGGCAAAATCTAAGTAATGTGTCGCATGAGAGTGTTTTCATACATGTGGTACCTTCGGCGTTCTGTTCTTAATTGTGGCAGCCATGCCATGGCCTTGCCATGTCAAAGGGTCACCTGGGTTTGTTCAGTGACAAAGATTAGTGTACAATCAATGGTTGATGATATGAACATTGCACAAACTAATGCCTCTTAGGGGAATGTTTAAGTGTTAACGACTTTGGCAAATGGATTGTGTTGTAGAATATAGTCCCCCATCGAACGCTCAGTCTAAAAAAGACAAATATATAAGAATATGAGTTGCTCCTCAAATTGCCAATTGGTTTTGGGTAGGGATCTCAGTAGGTGTTGCAGGTGTTGCTAAATTCACCCCTATCATGACTAAGTCCACTCCGTTTATGGTGAAATGACAACTTTGCCGTTAAAATACATAGAAGGTTATTAGATGTTAGCCAACTTTTAAGGCGAAAATTGTCCATTTAACACAAATGGAGATGATTTAGCCATAATAGGCATGGATTTGGCAACACGTGTATCAAATGTTCGCAATTAATTAACGCTGAAAATTGCATACAAGGACGCGACAATACTTTTGAAATGGTTATGAGCCACACAATGTTGCCAAAGATGGTATGAAAAACATTTTGGTACAGCCTAAAATTGCAAAATGGGGACAGTAAGAGCAAGTTGTTATATGATTTTTACTAAACACGATTAAGTGGTTGAATCAGCCAAAAAAGGTTGATCAGTCCACTAACCAAACAGGACCTCCCATCAAAGAGAAAACACACAAACAAACAAAAATGGTATACACATTGACATTGCCATTTGGGAAGCTAAACAAACCACATCAGTCCATGTTCTTGCTTAGCTTGATAGTGAATAACTGGGAAAGATATCACAGTATGCTACATTGCCATTTGGACAAAGATTATGAGCATCAATGTCAGACCATATTAGAGTATTAGCATACAACTACAAACTTGGGCTTGTGGTTGATTTGTTTCCTTAACACCAACCATAAAAAAGACTCTCACAACTTATGGATGTAAAAAATGCATAAATATGGCATGGGTTCTCATCCTTGAACTAAATTCCTCATCTGTATGTGCCCCACCCCATTGGAAATGCAAATTTGGCCCATTATTACTCATCCATGCATAACACTTGTAGCACAAAATAATTATGTACTTCGTTCTATATTTATTTATTTTGTAATTATATATTTTTAAAAAAAAATGTATGCTATTTATTTTTATAGCTACTCCTAATGAGAGATCTCTTAAAATCTATCATTTCACTACTATAATGCCAGAAAAAGGACAGTTGGAGTGTGTATGCAAAATCTTACCTGAACTTGAGAGGCTGTTTCCAAGAGATCTCGTCTCAAACATATAAGCACAAGCATATGGTATTTTTCAAATGAATTAACCTAGGGGTACACCAACCCGAGGTACCCCATTTGGGTCTAACACAGACACAAAATATATGTGCAGCACAGACATTTTGTGTCTATGTGTGTTTGTGTTAGACTGGTGTACGGTACCCCATGTTGGCGTACCCCTAGCATTGCCATTTTCAAAATAGGGCAAACAAAGTAAGAAGACACACACACAAAAGGCACACATTATGACATTAGTAACCCAAAACATAGAAACACACAACAAAAGCCTTGTTTGCCCAAATTCAAAAGGCATAACACTGTGTCTGGTTCAAGGAATAGAAATAAAAATGATTTTCACCCATTTTCCTCGGCTGTAAATTGGTTTTCCCTTTACGCATAGCAATAATTTATGAAATTCGAACAAAAATGGAGGGATACGTAAATGGAATGAGAAGAAAGAATGAATACTTGAGGTTGAAGAGGCATAGAGGAGGGAGCATATGAAAGCGAGCCCAATGGACCACGCGAGAAGAGAGAAGGGCCCAATAAGCTTCATATCGCGGCGAGCTTTAATTTGCAGAGGGGGAAGACTTCTTCTTCTTCTTCTTCTTCTTCTTCTTCCCCTCCTACCGGGGCACATATATTAGGAGAAGACGAAGAGGAGATATGGAGACGATAATAAGAAAAGAGGGATTGGGAAAGATGGAAGGTCATGTGGGCTCTCTGAACAGAGAGAGTAAATTGAGAGAGAGAGAGAGAGGTATGTGAGCGAGTATGGGGAATGGTGAAGATAAATAATGAATGCCAGTATCATAATGCCACTGTGTTCTTCAAGATTGGTTTTTGGGCGCGACGCCCAGTTGTACAATGGTGTGTGCTTGGGAGAGAATTTACTTATGATTTCGTGAAATATGGGAGAAATGGTATCTATTTTGAAATTTAAAATGACTTTGTTTGAAAAAACTCAAAAGTATGATTTAATTAGTGATAAGCGGGGGTGACCGGCAAGGGAATGGTTGGCGGTGACGATGGTAGCCGGTGACGGAGAATGATCATTGGTTGAGAGAAATATCAAACCCCTATATTGATATCACTCAAATTCGGGAGATATCGAAACCAAAGGATTTATGATATGTGAAGATATCAAATTCGATATCTTTTTTTACTTCACCAAACACCCAAAAAGAATTTTGATGTATGGAGATAATAAAACTCATATCTTGTTTGCTCACCAAACACACCATTAGGGTGGTCAGTCAAGTATAATTCGAATTTAGACTTTTCAAATAGTTGGATATTTATGGGCTGGTTGAGATCTACTTCAAGGGTGTGTTTGGGAGAAAATTTAGATCTAGTTTGGTGAGTTTTAGAGATATGATAAGATAATCTGGGAGAAATGATATGTATTTTGAAATTTGAAATAAATTTGTTAAGAGAGATTTTAAAATTATGATTTAAGTAGTGATAAGCGGGGGTGACCGACAATGGGGGTGGTTGGCAGTGAAAATGGTAGCCGGTGACGGAGAATGATCATTGGTTGAGAGAAATATCAAACCCTTATATTGTTATCTGCCAAATTCGTGAGATACCGAAACATTCGACTTGAAAGATTTATGATATGTGGAGATATCGAATTCAAACTCAAGTAAATGTCCATCGCAACATATACAATTCAACTTCATAATATTTGCTTTGTTCCAATTCACTATATTTTTATTCCCTAGCTCCATTGTTTTTAGGGGAACAAAGTTCATTGAACACATGACCAAATGGATAGAGAAAGATCCCATTTGGCAACAATGATAGAGTTAAACATTAGTGTTTTGAAAAGACTATCTTAACACTAGCTTTGAGCGTTGATCATTTTCATTTTTAATCGACACCATTAAAAATTTATCCAAAACGATAATGTTAGTCAAAAACGTTATTCTCAAACAAAGCCAAAATATCATCATTCTAATAATCCCGTACAAAAAAAGCTGTTATATGTTGATTCAACTAATCTAGTGAAATGAATTGGTGCTTGGCAAATAAAACTAGTCGATAAAGTTTAACTTATGCCCAATATAAAGCAACTAAACGAGTTCAGTGCTCCAAATAACACAATAAGACAGTATAACATATACTCAGTACTTCACACAGAGATAAAGAAGAAACTGGCAAGACAGTTCTAAGCCACAACCCAAGCAGAAAACACAGATGATGATCATGTTTCACAGATGACAACATACGAGGAGGAGATAAGACAATAGAACAATGCTTTTTGAGATCATTTCTTGAGATGGGGGAAGCATACTTCCACATCAGATTTCGGGTGCCTTGCCTCGGCATGCTCCCTGCACTTCACCTCTGAAGTAGTGCATATGAATGTCTGCATACACACCTTGCACTGCACCACAATCAACCCAATCATTTAGACAACAAATCTCATATCTTTAATACAAGGAATTCCACATTGCTGCAATCTTACATGGGAAAGATAATAAAACTAACTTCATGAATCAAAGTAGCTATTGGGTGGAAGCGGTGAGGGGGGCAAAACTTGTGTGAAACAGTCCCAAAATGTAATACTAAAAAACTTGAAAATAATACTTCTCAATATTTTTTTGGAAAGTATGACTTCCAAATTTTGTAGTTACATTTTGGTCATCTCGCAAGAGACCATCTCTTTTCATAAATTTATGGTTGTTGAGAAATATACGTAGTAAAAAACCCCTTTTTGATAGATTGGATCCACTCATCTCCTGATCTGAGCATGATCACTGATCATGAACTATATAAACAGCTGACAAAATAGGACCCTGGTCCACGCTGCTGATAATGCATGAATATTCTTTCCTGATTGCCCATGCCCAGACTTGGTCTAAATGGGATAGTCTCATTGTCCCAAACTTCGTTTTACACAAAATCTTATCTTTTGGTGAAGGGGAAGAAAAGGGGAGGCTGAGATATCCCATTCAAGAGTGGGAAAGGGGAAGCTAAGATTACAAATACCTTACTTCTATCCCTATGAGTAGAAAGGCTCTTCCCCGACAATGTTGGTGTGTGTGAGCAGTCATTGGGATCCCACATTTGAGTTTATCCCACATAGAAAGATCAATAGAAGAGTTATGTCTTTATAAAGATAATTAGTAGCACAGCCTAAAGCTTAAACTTTTGGAATGATATGGCCGTGGTTGCACTTCTATCCATCCTATTGTCAACTCCTAATTGGACCGCAACAATAGTGTGGGCAAAAATGTTTTTAGAAGAAACAATTATAAATGAACTCTATATGAAACTTCTCTTACTCCCTACTTTTTATGAAGTTTTGGATGGTAAATGAAGCAATGCATCAAGGGCCTAAGAGAAATAGTCTTTCTTTTAGAGAGAGGAAAAAGGTGGCATACATCTTGACCCAAAAACCCCAACACAGTTGGGATTATAGTAGTTTGTTGTTGTTGTACAAAATTTGTGATATACTAGAACTCATTTGGGATTTTAAGTTTTGTCACTTTGGAATAAAAAACAAGATTTAAAGAAATTCATTTTCAATTCCAATTTTTTAACTCCATGTAGCCAATTATACAACAACAAACCCAATACAATCCCAAGTCTGATGGGATTCGTGGGTTAAGAAGTACAAACCTTTACTCACGTAAAAAAAGGTTGTTTCTGTTAGACCCGTAAGCATTGATGGATTTACTACCAAAACTTTTTTACTCCATAGAACGTAAGGTATAAGGGAAGTTTGGTCTATAACTTACCTGAAGCCAAAACATTGAAAACAAGGGGATGTTTAGCTCCATTGGCAATGGATGCATGTTATCACAACTGTAACCAAATCCAACCAAAATAATTGGAGTTTACGAATGAAGCTTTGTTTCAAAACTCATTTATTTTCTTTCTTCGACTCATCTCTCTATCCGGTTATAATAAACAAGACAACAGCGCCATTGGTTCACCTCAAGTTCTTGTTAGCATCCACAACTATATGATATTCAAACGAATTATTGCAGAAACAATGAAAAATTTTCTAGAACTCAGCACACGTGGTCAATCAATCACTGGCTCCGTTTCAATCCGTATCAAGACACACACATAAAACCACATGAGTTCATACAGATTGACCAGAAACAACAGAATGCATGTGAGATAAATAGACAACGATTGCGAAAAAAGGAAAAAAAAATCTAAAATTTCATAAAAAAAACCTGGATGCTCATGGCCTTCTTGTTAGCTTCGAGCTGACTTCCTGCGCAGATACAAAACAGAAGCCATGGGTCAGCTCAGATCTGAGTAATTTCATCTGATTCTTTAAGTCTTATTTGCAACCCAAACGGGAATTTATGCGATCAATAAGCAGTTCGAAAAAAGAAAGGACAGGAATTGTTACCCTTGGAGGCGGCTCTGGCTTTCTCCAAATTCTTCTCACGAGCCATCTTCGACTTCTGCGCGTTGCCTCCTCCCATGGCTTCTTCCGGATCTCTCTCTCTCTCTCAGAATTGGGGAAAACTTATGACGCCTTGAATTTGCGTGTGAGAAGAATCGCGAGATTATATTTATATGTGATGATAAGATTGTCAATAGTAGGCCCAGTTCAGTTGAAATTAGATTGCATACAGAGAGGAGTTAGGGCGTGTTTGGCTGTACTGGCGCCGGAAAGAGAATGGATTAAAGAATGATGAAGACTAGTTTGATAACCCCATCATACATTCAAGCATACTATACTTACACTAAAAAATGTACTCTAAAATTACACTAAAAGTATATATTAATATTTTGATGGTTTACACTGACATAAAATGATGATACATTTTACCTTTAATTTAGGAAATAAAAATATAAAATTCTTATTTTGATGTATTTTTAATATTTTACTTATAATTTTATTTTTTCATTTAACTTTTAAAATTTTGATCACAAAAATTAAAGCTGGACAAAAGATACAGAGTATGAGAAAGATGGAGTATTATCTCTGTCCTAAAAAATTATTCCACGCATAACAAGGATTGATTGAATTTATTTTTTAATACAATAGAACATGAGATAATTTTATAAAATTAATTTTGTATGATGAAAACTATATCAAAAGGGTTAATAAAATAAAATGTGAGGATAATATATCCTTTTACTAAATGATACGGAGTAATAAAAACTAAAGAATGAAATTAGTTGAAGTTCATTCCTCGGAGAATGAAAGGGGATTTTTTTGTGAGAGGAAGAGAATAAGTATTACTCGTATTTATTTGAAATTATTTATCCACCCTGGAATTGGGCTGTTCGAACTTTCATTAGCCACCTAATTTTTTACACACAAAAAAAAAAGAGCAAACGACGTCGTAAATTTCGCCTACATCTCTGCGTTTTTTTTGTTGGTTATTAACCTTAATAATTTTGCTCAATTTCTTCTTTGTATTTGTCCAGCTTCGAATCAACAAACGCACGCCTAAATATGCTTTTTCCAATTTCATTGGCACCTGTATTTTAGCAATAATCGATTCCAAATGCGGAGCATCTTCATCTTCTTCTTTTCCTCCAAGATCTTTCGGTTTTTCTTCTTTTGATTTTTTTTTCTTTGTAAATTTGGTTTAGGTTTCTTTTCTGTTCATTTCTTTCTTCTGTAAATTAGGCATTTTTATTGGATAAACTCGTCAAGATTTTGTAATCAGCAAATATAATTTGGAATCAAGTGAGGTTAAAAGTAGACGACATACATGGCGACCCATTTCGATCGGTGGGAGAAAGATCCTTTCTTTTCTGCAGCCGAAGAGGTCCAGGAATCTGCAGACAGGTAGAATTACAATCATTTCGTGTTTCGTATGTTTTGTAATTTGTTCTTTTATTGGTTTCTTTTCTTTTCTCCCGCTCTGTTAATAATTGATCTCAATTTATATACTGGTAGAAATGTAAAGATGGATGCTTTCATTGATTTTCCGGATCTTATTCAAAATGGAGAAACATTTTATATTTCTTTTTTCCATTAATGAAGGATGGAATCAGTTTACAGAACATGGATTCAATTGGCTAAGGATAAATCTAAAGTTTGGAACTCCGAAGAGCTTTGCCGAGATCTAAAGACTGCTCTTGGCACTACCAAATGGCAGGTGAACCCTCTAAATTGCAGTGGGATTCCTTCGAAAGGAATTTATTTTTATTTTTATTTTGTGAAGGAGGGAAAAAAATATGAACTTGTAGTTGTGGAATATGGACTTTTTTTGTATAATGTTAATGCAGTTGGAGGAGTTTGAACGGGCGGTTAAATCAAGCTACCCTAACGGCTCAGCTGATGATGCAGAACATAGGCATAGCGAGTTTGTTGTCGCGATAGACTGTCAGATCAAGAAAGTTGAGAGAAGTTTAAATGAATCGGCCATCTCTCAAGGGAAGCCACCATCCCCGTGGGTGCGTTTGGATGAGGGGGAGCGCGATGAACTGGCACTGTTCTTGTCAGGGAATCGTAAGGAGCAGCAAAAAGAGAAAGGGGGTTTAGGAGAGACTAATGAAGAGAAGCTTGTGGGCCATAGGAGAACTGCGAGCGCCAATGCGGATATTGGTTCCTGGAATATTGCAGTTTCAGACGATGCCTTGGACAACACACAACCAGGACCGCCCCCGCGGAAGGTTCCCAGTTTATCTGGATTCTTGAATACCATGGAATCTGCTGCTAAGTTGAAGTTTGCAAAGAATGGGTACCGAAAGTTGAAGGTCACGGATTGCCACCATGAAGTTGATGCTTCTTTACCACATACTCAGGAGTTGTCTAGGGTGAGTTACACTTCATTTGGCTTTGGTTCCTTTTTTTTTCAATTCTGGTTTTCAAGATCCGTTTTTTCATGTATTTTCTAAAGCTCTTTATAAGAATAGTCTTGGAAGCATCTATTTTTATTCTAATTGAGAGGTTATACTCGATAAAGATAATGATAAAAAATTCCTAATGCGGAGCAGTTTTTAAATAAAGGGAGAAATAATATCTTTTAAAATAGATGTTCTTCTTATATAGAGTATTCTTGCTTTGTTTCATAAAGGGCATCAATCCATGTTATGAAAGGAGCAAGAGTTGTCTAGATGGATGTGAAAAGTGCTACGACAAGCAACTCCATAGTTGGTACGGAGCTGCTCAGCGACAGATTCAGAGGTCTCAGTATTATGTGCAATATAGTCGTTCTGTCCGGGTGGGTTTCACCGTCATTCTTCTCTGCTTGATTGGTGAGCCTCTTTGTTTGAGCTTCTGCATCTCTTTTTAAGCTCAGTTCATAAACTTATGGTGCATTTTGTTTGGATCCATGGGAAAGTTGATTCTGAATCTTAGAATGAGATGCTTTTGAATCTGGTATCCAAAATTTAGATTGAGATTTGGTAATTATGTTATTTGTATTTGATATGCAGTCTTTTTAGCATTGCATATGTGAAGAAGATCAGTAAATCTACTATTGAATCTGGAGGGAGGAAGGGAGCTTGCAGAGTATGGGATTCGGCGATGCTCCCTATACAGTTGCTGTTAGAGAAGTGCTTTAACTGTTTCTGGTTTATAGTTTTCTGGGATTCCTTCTCCATCATTGTTGCTTGTACACTGTAATATAATATAATGAATGAATCTTAAGGATGATGACACAGGTGACCATTGCATCCCACACTATGAAAGAATCACTTTGTTGCCAGAAAAATGTTGTAAATAGATCAATTATTTCTTTTGCATGTCTCTGGTACACACATTAAATGTGGTTATACTTATAGTATCTCTTTCCCATTCTATCAGTTGATATGGTTAACCCATCAAAGATTAGATAGATATTGTGAGGGTGTTTGGGATTGTGTTAGAAACTAACTTTTGATTCCTGGTTCGCCCAAATACCATTTTGAGTGTTCAGTAATCTGCTTTAACTTATAGATTATAGCTTCCTAAGTACAAATTGATTGAACAATAGAAGTGTTTTTTAGTAAAGTAAGGATTACGTCCTTTGCGCTCTTGATTTACTCCGTATCATTTATGTTTATGTGCTTCCTCATCTCAATTGAATGTAATCATGTGAAATGCACAATCGAATTTGGATAAAGTCTTGTCTGGAATCAACATTTTCAATCAGCGTTTTAGTTGTTTTTTTAATGATATACACTTTGAGAAATACTAGAGCAAAAGAAACTACTCTGTATAATTCATTGGCACACATAGGGAATTTGGACATCAAACTGTTTTTCATTTCCAACAAATTTGAGTGTTTTGGACTTTGGTTAAATAAAACTAAAAAAAGTGACAAGAAAAGTTACAACTTATTAGAGTGATCATCAGCAGCAGCTTTCCTGGTGATTGTGTCTGGTGCTCCAGCTTTGCTTCCATGGAGTTCAAAGGAAACCCTAGAATTCCTGTACTGACTTCCAAAGGCGGTGCCGAACCCCCATCCAAGACCCACTCCAACGCCACACCCACCACCTTCCATTACAAAATTTCAATGTTCAGATAAAACCCAAAGAGGCCTTCATTCCATTTGACAGTGAATTCTCAAAGAAACAAAAAATAAAGCTCCGTTTGGTACACGGAATTCAAGTCATGAAATTGTAATTGGAGACTTTAATTCTAATTCTGGTGTTTGGTAACACAAAAATATGTGGATTTGGAATTGGTAATGTAAAAAATGAATTCGAATTGGAGAATTCCATTCTATCGAATTCAATTTCTTAGAATTCCAATTCTCGGACCCTAAAGTAAATCCAATTAAAAACATTGCTTAGATGACTGCATATGTGCACTGTTTACCTGCTCCAAGACCTAAGAAATTCATCGGAATCCCTGCGAGGAAAGGAAATGCAGAACTGACATTATCAAATCTTTCTCGGGCGTTTAATCGTTAGAATGTTGTTGATAATCAATCAGGGGTCGTGAGATCAAATCTAAGCTTAAATCATGGATACGTACCACCGAAACCCCAGCCGACGCCGAAACCGCAGCCCATCCCAAAACCTGTGCGAATCAGATGCGGAAATATAAACTATGAAGAAGAAGAAGAAGAAGACGAAGAAGAAGATCGGAGAAGAGACGTACCGAATCCGATTCCGGCTCCGTTGAAGTTGGTGAGAACCATTTCCCTCACCGGCGGCTAAAATCAACTAAAGACTGAGATTCACTGATTTTGGCTCCAGTAAAAAGGAAAATGGGCTCTCGCTCAATTCGACTAGATATATTTTTGAAAAAATGGGTAGACCAAGTGTCTAATGCCACATATATTGGCAAATAAATTAAACAAGAAATAATTAAATAAAAATGAGTGGTGTACATTTAGAGTACACGTTTGGTGTATCCTAGCATCCCTCTATATTTTTATAAATTTTTAGTAGGGCCAAACCAATGGTATTGACTACTGAGAAAAACGGCTCATCTCTCTTTCAAACATTTCATTTAACAACATGCGCTTAGTTAGCTGTTAATAGTGATTAAAATATAAGACTGAAACATGTCTTGTATTTGCAAAGGATCAACGCTTAACACAATTGTCTCATAGTGCAATTGCTAAAAATCAAGTTTGCGTTTATCTCATA